ACGTTTTAAGTCTGCAGTTAGAAAAGATAGATTTCATATTTACTTACAAACAGTTTCAGTTTTTAAAAATTTATGGGGCTTAAACATCTCCAAGTCATTCCACATATTCATGGAAATAAATGCCAGAGTTTGTTCAAGTCAATTATAAGAAGGTACTCACATCTTTGTACGGAATATACCAGAAAAAAAAATGCTTCAAATGAGCTGCTTTGTCCCAGGAAAAGAAGGACGCTTCAATCAATATTTGTCCCAGTCATTTCTTTACCATAAGGTACAGAACTTATTGTGTTATTGCAACAATTTTAGTACTAAAAAGTAGTTTCGACCCATAGAAACTTACAAAATGACGGTACATCAGGGAATGAGGCTCTAATCCTGTAAACATGTTCGATAAATTTCATGAAAATTCACTATGTTGCACAAAGGTTTGCAGGCCCAGGTGCTCCGGGCTAGACCCAAAGACTCTTAGATTTTCAACAATCTGTAAAACGACCTAATTGAAACATAAAGACCTTCAAACATACTCTTCACTTTTTTTCTTTCCTTTTTTTTTCTTTTCCCAACCTAATCCTGTAAGTGCCTAACCACTTACAGATACTTAATTCAACAGTAAAGAACCATAAACTGAGTCATCTTGTAAGCACTCCTAGATTCAGGTCACAACATGGAAGCCAATAATAGGGTAAATCCCTCAGGACTCACAAGCTCAGGATCCCTGCCATTTTTCAGCAAAGTCCGATCCAGCAGGCATTCTGTAGCCACACGTATGAGATTACACTGCACAAAGCACAGCCAGACGAGGCAGTGCTTCAGCAGCGTGCTTCCTAAATCATTCAATCTGTTACAGCACCCTCGTGGGATGGCAAAGGGATTTGAACCTGCATCACCATCCCCAGGCAAAAGCAAATTGCAGCACGGGTTATTCTACAGGGGGCACTCTGAGCCTCTCGTGCAGGCAGAAATACATCTCACATAGAATAATTAATAGAGAGAAGGGAAAGACCAGAAAGAAATGCCAAAATATTTCTCAGAGTCCAAAATACTGATCAGTCCAACAATAAACGTTCTCCAAAAAGGATACCTTTGTCAAATACCTATTCAGAAATGAATGTCTCATTTAGCCCACAGAAAAGCAAACTGAAAACTGGAAATTAAGCCCTATGAAGAGGAAAGGCTCAGATCTGCTTCTTCTTTAGAAGTTCCTATTTGGGGTAGTTTCACACTGTCTACCGAATTTTATGGATATGCTCACTAACAGTCTAATGCTACAGTGCATTATAAAGGTAATGACATTCAGCTAACAGCTTTTGGTTAACATCCAGCAGATGAGATGTTTCTATCCAGTCTACTGCTGTTTCCCTAATGGAGAGCAGGAACATTCAGGCAATGAATATCGCTCAAGCAGCCATTCTCTTCTGCTTTACTGACAGGCTGCTGCACATATTTCTCTGCCCAGCTTCTGCTACAAGGCACGGGATGTTCTCCACCTTCAGTGCATGGATACCTTCTCCAGAGAAGAAATGCAACCCTCTGTGATGCAGCAAGGAGAGGTGGTGGGGAAGTTGGAAAGGAAAGTCTGCTATTGCCAAAGTATTGCAGGAAGAAAGGAGACTGCGCTATGGCAAAACTTGGCTCTACCACGGGCAGCTGAAGAGATCATTACCTTGTACCGTTGCTAAAAGCCCAACAGTGTAACATCCAGTGTGGTAATGCTGAAAGCCAATTCTGGCAAGTCCTTATTAACAAACTAGTGCAGCTCTTAGTGAAGTTTTGGGGCTTTTTTTCTTGTATACTGAAGTTATTTCTATTGTATGTGCTTAGAATGAAGATGACCAGCGCTTTACTGCTGTCAGCATTTTCTATTTTATTTTCTCCCATTTCCATGAGAAACAGGCATTTCCAAACAGTTCTGTCCAGGTTAAATCACAATTTTCAGATTGTTTAAAAGACTATTGATGGATAAAAAAAATAAAAAATAAAGGAAGTAGTTGCCAGTGAGGCGTTAAGAGATGGATATTTTGCAGACAGCTACAGGCTAACAAGTGATAAACCACGTTCTAACCTTACATTAGCATGAGTCTGGAATAAGTTTGTCAAAATCAATGGAATTAAACTGTCACACAAGAAAAGATGTTCAGATCAATCTGTTTTCGTACTCATTTTACACTCTTCTAAGATCCGAAGCCTTCGGAACATTAAACTCAGTCTGATCTTGAGATACTTGATTATCTGTCCTAGAGATGGCTTTTCCTTCTTTCATTTGCTGTTGTAAGTGTGAGAACATTAGATTTCAAGGTTTCTAAGTGCTGTTATTGCCTTAGACTGCCTATTCATAAGTCTGTCTTTGGTGAAATCCCCATGTCTGTGAAATGATCAGTTATGCTGCTTTCTCTGACTGCATTCCTATTGTAGCTTTGTAGATACTACGTAGTTTTCCTTCAATATTAACAATCAGAAATGAAGTCATAGGAAGGCTTCTGTCAGCCAGTCACACTGATGAAAAATGTGGGCTGGCAGTATCTTTCAATTTCACAAAGAAATGTTTAGATACGGATGAAATACATAATTGCTGGTAACCTTACAAACCCGCATGACATTTTTGTCACCAAATGTTCACAGACACTAAAAAGTGTCAAGTGAAAACATTACAGTTTCATTTTGATTTAGCCATGTTCATTATATTACACATAATATCTCATGGAGGTTCCTCAGATTCAGAGTCATGGGAAGGGATATCCAAAGAAGAAACCTGCTGTGGTAAAGTGGCCTGAGTCAAAATGACACAGCCAGTCAAACTGGGAGCTGAAAGACTCTACCTGGAAATCTCCTGGAAATATATTCTGGCATACATGAGGTGAGTTGCGAAAGAGGAGAAAGAGATAATGCATGGTGCTAGAACTGAATGGAAAAAAATCACTGCGCCAGCTCAGTGCGGATAAAAGAAGATGGGGAAATCCAGCAGAGCTAAGGTGAGAGATGAGAGCTGCACTCTGCTAGTATAACAGAGTGGAGAAAATGATTGTGTTTTCCCACTCTTGATCTCACTCTCCTTCCCACTATTACCCCATCATTTAATTTTCCCATGATGAACAATGCAAACATGGCAGCAGGCTTGTGCAAAACACGCAGCCTGACATCCTAGCACAGCAAGGCAAGGTAGTCTGGCAGCTACTATGGAAGCAGATGTCACTTCATAGTTAAACTAATGAAGTCAGTTTGTCTTGCTGCCTTCTGGAAATTTATCATAATGTACACCAACTTATACTCTTATTCTCCAGCATTCTTCTACCACGTTAGGGATGGCTTTTTACTCTGCTAGGCAAAAGAAGTGATCATATTTACCAAGTTTCTACAAAAAATCTGATTTGAGGCATGCTTACATGCATTCAATAGCTGGCTCTTGCCCAGGGTCTTACAGGTTAGACTGAAAGGTTAAAGTAGGCTGCATCTTAAGTGGAAGGAAGTATAGATGAGCAGTTTCCAGAAACATACTTTGAATTTTCATCTCACTGATGGAAACAACAGTACAACATTACTAGATTTGGAACTGAATTAAGCATCTGAGACAAGATATGTAGTTAGTCCTAAAAAATATTCCTTCCTATCCCAAGAAGCAAAAAACAAGAGGGAACTTGCTGCCGCTGTGGTCACATGATAGCATTTCTCTTCACTTCTGCAGACTGGGGCAATAACACAGCACAGGAAGATTACCTAGCTCATTTTTATCTTTTCATTTTACAAGAACTGTGGAAAGTTTGCATGTCCTCGCTGTTGACTGATCAGACAATAAGGAACTAAAAAAGACAGCATTCTTTGTATTTCTTTTGTGATGTTTTCTGTTTGGTTTTGGCTTTTTGTAGATTACAGCAGACACATGGAAAATTTTATTTACCCATGATTTAACTAGATGAGAAAATCCAGTTAAATAATATTCATTGCTTTTGCTTTTGATGACCCATTCTTTGAAATTTACACATAGTAATCTAAGGAGTTGTTTACACAGAGATGCAGGCAGAATTTCAGCTTTGATTTCAATGTACTTACTTCCCTGCACTAGCTCTTTCTTTGAACATCCTTAGAACAATGTAAAGTGATATTATTTGGGGATGCCTTTGGCCAATCACCCACCTTGTGTTCCCAGATGCATCTGTAGGGCAGCACAGGATCTTCGTTGACTTCACAGTGCAATATTGACAGCAAATGGAATGGTACAGTTATTCTTTTTTCCTTCTTGGGTTCAGCATCTTATATTTTATACTGCAGCTTTAACCATTAGAGTGAGCCTCTTGGTACAATTGCTTTTCAGGGTAAAGTGAATAAAGTCAAATATCCAGATATTTCCTGAATGAGTGATTTACTCTTTCTTATGAAGAAATCTCCTGTGGACTCCAGAACACTAACAGAAAGGCAAGACAGGGCCACAGGACAGTTCAGCTGTCATCTCACCCTTTTAATGGCCACACATGAAGCTCAGCTTCAGATAGCAGTAGCACACACATTTCACTGGGCTCAACAAACCAGAGAGAGTTTTGAGTGTATGCTCAAGCACACATGACCAAATACTACAAGGCAGGCTCATTGTAATGCAAAGCCTTGGAATATTTTTCTTCCTTTTTTCAGTCTTAATCTAAGATTGTCTGTGCTATATGTTAAAGTTACTTGTGCTCCCACCATTAAATAAGTTACTTCTTCCATACCACAATATCTCTCTCTCAACTAGTAGCCTAATAAACCAACAAATATTTAGTTCTCAAATCTATACCATCTTCAGCTCATTAAAGCCTTACAGAGTAAGACATTTATAACAGGAGGATGAAATACAGAACTGTAAATAATAGCTCATAACCCAGAGCTTGTTTGTGCCTGTTTGGAGAGTCCATTCAGCCTCCCTACAGCTTAAAGAAATATCATCTGCATCTTTCAATAAATACTTACATAATCCTCCTAATCAACGCAAAGTGAGGAAATAGCAAATTCACATCTAGAAATGCTTTACTTACAGGGTTGTGTGCTTTGTGGAAGCTTCTGTACATCTCTAAATAGTGGCTCCTGCAGTCTCAGACAGCAGTGCCATGTACATTCAGGAGGACTTGCACAAGTCAGCAATGAGTAAATCCAGTCAGAATCTCTCCATTCTTGAAGCTGAAGCACAGATCAATATATTCCCAAGGAGGTCTGGCATGTCTGTCCTGGACACATGAGTTACTTATCTGTTCCATGTACATTTATTCCCTTTTTCTATACGCCAAGGCAATTTAGGTAAAAACACCCAGCTGTTGCAAATGAAGAAAATCCTGTCTCTGTAGGACAACCAGATTTTGTTGTACATGACTGAATGCCCGATCTGCTCCCAGACCCAATCCTGGCTGACAAATTTCAAGAACATGGAAATGATTCCCCACACCTTACCACAACATGGTTCAGGTGCTCCCATTACTTCCTCACCTGTATGTGAGCATCACCTAAACAGTGCAGCACAGGTACAGCAGATGTCAAAATAAGCTTTTGAGAAAGCACTTGCTGCAAGCCTGCCTCTGCTTTCTCTTGAAATCTGTGCTAGATGTTCAGTTTGAATTTCATAAGTAAGCCTAAAGCATCACCTCAGTCAGCCTTCAGAGGCAGAGATGTAGCCCCAATCTCTAACAGGGCACATCCTCTGAGCTGATCTGCCTCTTGAGCAATCAGGTAGCAGAGTATACTTTGATTTTTCAAAATTACTGTTTTAAAATGCAGTTTTAGCTTAGGTGCATTACGGAGAAGCAATACATTGTGGCAAAAATAAAGCAACTGTGAGAGGATTTTCATTAAAGGCGTTACAACTTCTGGATCACAGCTGCGCAGAGGAAGTTTTCTCCTACCTCTACGCTACTTACTTCATATTAAGCCAACTACCTGGTAAAGCATTTACATAGCAACAACAGATGCCGTTACCACACAGGGATACATTGCAGCTATCATAACTTGGCTGTGTTTCTTACCTAGCTGATAAGCAGACATCTTGCATGCTTCTTTACACATAGTGGCAACTATCCACCTGTCAGAAGGAGCCGAAGTAAGAAGATACTTGCTTTTTCCTCACCATATTTTTTATTTCTCAAGACTATCTCTGTTCTGTGGGGACAGCAAAACTCTGCCCACCAGTAAGATGGCCACTACTCTGCAGTAAGGCTGTGCCCACCCAACAAGATGGCTGCCACTCTGTGGCAAGTTGTGGTTACCAACGTGGCTGCTGCTCTCCGAGACAGCAGCTCAACTCACTTCACCCAACCACAGAGCTGGTGGCTGTCTTGTCAGTGGACACAGCTTCTTTCTCCCTGCAGTGCCCACGCAGGAGGTGCTGTATTTGCACCTCAGGGAAGGTGTATGGGAGACATGTGGAAGCTAAGGAAGGGATTGCTGTAAGTTATGTGAAACTGGGAACCGGAGAGATTGCATTTCACACTGCTACGAAGCCCAGTGCTGAATGGTGGCCAGCTGCTAACTGAAGAGATGGTTGATGAGCTCACTACAGCTGCCATCACATTTGAAGTAATTTTATTTAATCATTTAAAATACCGAAGGTAATGTAAATGGCTGTATCCTGGCCAAACTTATATCCATGAGCAAAATTTGCTATAGCAAATGCATCGCTTGTTTCTCCCCCCCAGTAGGTGTACAGCATGGGCAGACTGCTGTCAGGAGCAGCCAGTAACAGCCACCAGCAAGTTACGCATCTGGGCGACACAGAACAGCAGTGCTGATAGTAGCTTGGGTTTCCTAGTGCTGGCATTTGTAAGGATAACTGTTTGTGGAGACAAAAGATGCAGCTTTAGCCTGGGGAAAAATATTCAATTTTCCTGAGACTGCTTTTCGGTTGAAAAGGAGAGCAAGGGAGAAAAATCCTTCTTAGGAGAAAGCAAAGGAGAGCTGGAGAAATCTGCTGCAGACAGAAGGCAGAGGGTAAACTATGGGCAATGGTAGAGAAAGGCATAAATTAAAAAATAAATTAATGTTAATTTTTGGTGGTTATGGTTTTTTACATTTGACTATTACGACACTAGGCTACGTTTATTGTAGTTATCAGATAATATGCATTGGTAAGTTTGTTTTCATGGCAAGGATTTCAGTGTTCTATATCACTAGAGCTAAACTGAGCAACTTCATGGCATAAGGACAGAAGCATTCCTGCCTGTACTTTAAGATTTACACATATTTCTATAGCTAGCTAATTTGTAGAGACTGCGCCAATAAATTTAACTGCTTGAAATGTTTTAATTTTTTTTTCTTAATTCAAACTGGAATATGCAATAAGTAAATGTTCTATGTACAATGACTGTGCTAAATCAGATAAAAACTGTGCCTTAGTTGGGTTGTTCCTGAGTCACAATGTGGTTGATGTTGCAAATATTTCTGTGCAAATACAAATTTTGTCAAGGATATATAACCTTTTCTTCATTAGTACCTGCAAAACCCTACATAACTTACACTTACATAACAGATCTATGTTTTTTGAGTATTAAATTCCATATTTTGTATCTTCAAAGCTCTAACAAAGGAGGTGCATGAAGGAAAAGCAAAGAGGGGCTCAGGTGGGAACAAGTCAAGCCTAAAGAAAGAGAGATTAAGTGATGTGAATAGAGGAAAAGTAAATAGGGAGAATTAAACATTTTATGCTCATTAGCTTTGGATTAATAATTTTTAACAGAATCACAATGCAAAACAATACAGAAAAGCTGAAAAGCTTTATGACTTTAAAGTAAAAAGAAATTAACTTTCAAAATTAGCAGGAAACTTGCTCTCTGGGCAATATTATGATTGACAACATTCAAATAGTAGAGGGTTAATTGGCTCCAGCTGATGTGCCCTACCACTATTGGGACAGATTATAAAAGAAACGGGAAACAGGGTTAGAAAGAGTGCACTCCCTTTCTGCCTGGCCCGGTTGCTCTGTGGTTTTTAGTTTGATTATGTGGCTTGATGACTGCCTTGTGGACAATAAAGCATTCTCTGGGGAAAATCTCTAAAGGAATTTTGTCTGGAAGTTTGCTTTCTTTCTCCACAGTAATTCATACAGGCTAAGGCCTTCCAAGTGCCTTGAAATACCTCCTCATGAGTACTGCTGGAATCAGACACCAGATTCCAGTGTATTAAGCATCTACTGTGGAAGTTTATTTGTGCTTATTGCTGCAAACAGCCTCTGCAGCTATGTATGGTATTGCTGGGAATTTGTTTCCATTGCGGTGGCTTCTTTTGACAATGTGTGAAAATTTAACTGGCTGCAGCTTAAGACTGAAATTGTAAACCATACCATTCGCAAGAGTTGTGTTTTACAATACAGGCCTACTACAGAACACACGCGACCGTAGGAATTGCAGATTAAAACCGATGGGGCGTATAAACTCTATGTTTGGCTGGGGCAGAAAGAGGTTAAAAGTCTGACCTGCGAGCAAATCTGTTGCTAGCTCTACATCCCAACTGCAGCTTTTAGTATGGGAAAATGTTTAAGGCAATTTCCATTCTCCCTCAAACAAAGGATCCAGTTTAATAAACCACGGACTTTGTGACCAAACAGCCTACAGTATTTTTTTAGGTCTTCTTCAAGTAGAGCATGTTATGGAGCATAATTTACTCCGAAAGTACAAATGAAGTCAGAAAGGGGCCTTCAGTAGTACTGTTGCTATAAGGCCATCTAATGGCCATCTAACAGTCCCAGATAGAATAGCCTAACATTACACTGAAGTTGTACATTATCATAAAAATTAGCTCAGGTCTCCAGTTCTGGTTAGAAGGAAGGGAGGAAGATGCTGACAACAGAACAACTGAGAAAACAATTAAAAAAAATTTTTTTTTTTGCTAATCATTTACATGGCAATGTTGACTTCAGATTTTGCTTCAGTAACTTCTAAATACTCCTGAAGAATAATTTGTTAATTAATCTGGAAAAAATATTCATATTTGGGGACGTTATGTTCTAGAACATTCAGAAAGTAAGTTCAGAGAAGTTCATGTGAGGTCAGCCTCCAAATCTAATTTTGATAGTCACCAATTCAACTAGCATAAATGAATACAACAGTTCAGAAATGATTAGTTAAAGGCTCTACAGCTCCACTGCTGTCATAAATGTAAGTTTCACCATTATGTTATAGCTCATTCGTCTTCCAATCTGAATGCCAAAAAGCATATTCTGTGTGTCACTTTGTCATAAATATATGAACGTACTGAATAGAGTTGATGAATGCAGGTACTTGGCAAGCATTCATAACTGTTTCATATCAGTTCTTTCTTAGTGATCCTGAAAGATGAGGGATATTTTTTTTTCAAATCCAGTATCTTTTGGTACCCACAGTAGTAGCAAAATGCAATAATTTATGACATCTAACAGTAACTTCACAACCACTGAAGTGTTCCTAATTTTATAGTCTGAACTAATTAAGGTTTGGTGGGGATGTTGACTAGGTTCCATATATTAGATAATTGCTTTCTTGTTTGATTACTGATTGAGCTTACAGGTCAAAGGAGACCCTGAGATAAACCTGCTGCTGGTGTGCACTGGCCAATGAACTAATCCAGCATCTGTGTGAAAGCAACACTGGTTGCCTTTGCATGCAATTTCTGTCCATTGTCATACCACCATATAATGCTTCTCCTTGCTACAATTGCAGAGCCAATGGAGTATACTGGTACTAGGCTGAGATGTATATGTAAGAACTTGGTAACATGTTCTAAGTAGTATCTTTAGAAAAGCACTATCATAATAATATTTTTATTCAGTCCCTACATAGAAGATTTTTTATCTATTGTAAAGATTGAAACTTACACTCTTCCTGTCATATATGACTTTCTGTAACATCTCATCACATTACTTCAGCTTAAAGAAATGGAGAGCAATAGCTCAATTTTATAAGATGCTTCAGTGAAGTGATTAGTACTGTAAGTGCATTAATACACGTTAGCCCATTTTGTTGCACTCACAGTGAATTAATGTTGAACATAGGACCAAAGTAAGCTCTCTACCTGTGAAAGTTTACTGCCAAGCATCAGCACCTTCCTGTGCCTGATAGCTGAATGATACCCTTCTCCAGACACATTCTTCTAATAGTTTCCATCTATTCAGTGGATTCTACAGAATCCACTGCAACATTTCCAAGCTCGCAAAGATTGTAACTTGAGGTATGCCTTGATTTCTCAATTAATTTAGC